GGTAGCCAGCTGATGTTTGTCAGAAATATCAGCAGAACATGCTGAACAATTTGAATGTACCAGCAGTGGAGTTGTTGACAGTTTTATGAAGAGCACGTTGCTGACCTGAGCGCTCTGTGAGGTTACCCAAATAATGGAGCCGCAGCCAATCGACTCTCTGCAGCTTCCTTTGTTGTAAGACAGACAAAACGCTTTGTATAACCAGCCTGATGAAGTGTGGTATTAGCACTGTGACTATAGTGTAACAATAGGGCATATTAAAACATGGTAATGATAGCAGTGGATGTAATATTGTGATAGCATTTGATGGTGTTTCAAAAATGCTTTGTGGTTTATTATAAAGCCTTTTTCCAATAGTATTGGACGTAATTCCTAACAATAAGTGTTGAGATCAAGGAATGTGCTTTGAGCTCTAAATCAAGTGTTTCTCTAAAATATTTATCACTAGAATGATATGAAAGGAAATGGCAAAAATTAATAAGACCAATGATTGTGATTTGTAACATAACATTTAAAGGTTACGCTGGTTGGCAGCAGGTGAAAGCTGACCCCAGATTCACTGTTGTTCTGGAACAATCATTCAATATAAAGAGAGTATGCCATGACGTCACTCTCCCAGCTGAACACGCCCCCTTCAGGTGGACTGAGTGGCATGACAACATCCTGTAACATGGCTGCCCTTAATGGGGGAAAAACAATCCGACAGAAAGTCCACATGCTCTTCTGACGGTAACTGCAGAGTGAGTGAGAAGAGTGCAGTGTGTAAGAAACGCAAAACAAGTGTTTTCTAAGCTACAAGTAGAGGATAAGTCAGCTAGCTGCTAGGCTATGTAGAATAACATAGGCTTATGCTAATTTTGCTAGCATGGTGAACACTTGACTAGCAAACAACACAAGTGTTGTCTCTGACACTTGTGAGTTATAATTGTACTTTTGTTAAATGTTGTTACTATTAAGCCACATTTACTGTGTGTAAGTTTAACAAAACATGAATTGCATTCATTTGTTTAGCTTGTCTTAACTTTTGTCAGTCTGTGAAAAGATAGGTCTGAGCTCTTGTTTAATATATTTGTGCAGCTTTGTTTAACATTTTACATTTTTTTTGGTGTTCTAGCAAAGAGTTGATTTAGGAAAATACATTCAATTGTCTATCCGTGCAAACAAACTCAAAGCTCCAACCTATTTTGGGGACAAAATGAAGGCAAACTATGAAATGATTCCCCAAACCTTACATAGTAAACATCCATTAAGGTTTACGAACCATCTGTAATTACCACTGTTGCTTGCACACATGGTTTTCCTGTGCCATGAGGGATAATTACAGTTCATGTTTGGTTTAACCATTAAATTAAGTCGTTTAGATTAGAGGGGTTATCAGTCCCCAGGCCATACATCAGTACCTGACCATAGATCATATGCTACTAGGCTGCGAGGAAACACAATTATTTGGGAATACAAGATGAATACTAGTTGTAAGATGGTGATGCTATTAGAGAGTAAGACATCTTTTAATTGTTGAATACCTTTGTGCAGTATGTTGGTGCAGAATTGTAATTTTCACTCTCTATAACACCGCCAACAGTGATAGATGTTTAACTGGAAATATGTGTGAGGAGATCAACGTCATTTATTATCAAATCCACTCTACAACCATGCGCATTTATTTTTGTCTCTTCTGTAATTTTCTAACTTGATATTGAGGTTTGTGTGCTGGGAGGATGAAAAAAGGAACTAACACCTGGGGCCTCATTTATAAAGGGATATACGCTCAAAAAATGGCGTACGCCAGTTTCTACGCAATGTTTGCGATTTATAAAATACTAACTTGACGGGAAAACGTGCGGTCCTCCACGCAAACTCTAACCCATGCGTACACAATAAGCACAAAAACGGGAGAGAGGATCTGCGACACTGTTGGCAGAAGGAAGAATGGAGAGAAATATGTGGAAATAATACCATAAATAAAATGTTACCTCTCATTTATCATATATGAATAATTCATTTTCACAAATTGATTAAAGCCAATCTTAAAATGATTTAACAAATGCCTGTTTGAGACTCCTCAGTGCACACAAAAACATAACTTGGAGAAATAAATAAATACGGATATGTTATTTAAAACCACCTCGAATATGTTGTGTTAATGTTATGAAATGTTTTCTCATAAATGATGCGGTAAGCAGGAGGACAGAATGACGTCTAAACTGACACCGTTTTGCATTTCTATAGTTGTTAGATACGAGCATGGTTCTATCACGTTTAATCGTATTTTATGCCGTTTGCCAAGACTTGATAAGTCGCTAGTAAAACACAGGAGGTATGGAAACTAAGAACACCATATGTGGTAAATTGTAAAGCTAATATAACGCAACACACTAGTTGTATTTCTTTTAACTGGTGGATATAGAGTTGCTGCGGTGGGGGGGTTGAGATGCACAGGCTGCAGTGGAGACGTTGCGCACAGCTGATCGACAGCTGGGACACAAACCATATACAAACAAATAATTCAGATCCAGTCATCATGACTTCACTCCGGAGGGATTCCCCAATCATTTCTTAGAGTTTCTCATCGAGGGGGTGTCTCCTGTCCCCGGTACAAACACACTGCCTGAGGAAGGCTATGTGTAT